CAGTAATACATGGCCGTGTCCTCGGTTCTCAGGCTGTTCATCTGCAGATACAGCGTGTTCTTCCCATTGTCTCTGGAGATGGTGAATTGGCCCTTCACAGAGTCTGTGTAGCTTGTGCTACTTCCATCATTGCTAATTTCTGTGACCCACTGCAGCCCCTTCCCTGGAGCCTGGCGGACCCAGTTCATGTAGTAGCTGCTGAAGGTGAATCCAGAGGCTGCACAGGAGAGTCTCAGGGACCCCCCAGGCTTCACCAGGTCTCCCCCAGACCACCAGCTGCACCTCACACTGGACACCTGCAGACACAAGTCATCCTGGTCAGGAAACTGTCACATGTCCATGGTTTCTTTCACTCATATCCACTCACATCCTCAACGTCTCTTGTTCACCATGAATTACCTTTTAAAAGAGCAACAAGGAAAACCCAGACAAGCACAAACTTCATTGTGAGTTGTCTGTGTCCTGTCCTGAGTACTGATCAGAACACCTGGGAATCCTGGTGCTGGGGCTCCTCTCCCAGCTGCAAAGTCAGGTTTGGGCTGTTTTTAATCAGCAGATGGAAGACCCTATTTGCATATTCTCTGACTATATATTCAGCTTGGGATCTGTGTGACCATAGAGGGCAATGGCGAGAAGATATCTGACTGCCTTTCTTTTGGTTGTTTTGACCACTTTAGAAAAAAATATGATTTTCATTATATAACTTTCCAGAGTATATACTTGGACATGCACTACTTTCTTTTTACATATTCACACAAAAGTTTTGTGATTGATGTCATGTTATGTCATGATGAAATGTAAACCTATACCCAGAGTTTTAGAGGGATTTTTGAGGTATTTAGAGAGATTTTTGTCCAAGAGCACACACAGGGTGAGAGTGAGCCCTAGTATGTGGCCCTGTGCTCATCCCCACAGGACATACTGTCTCCTGAACAACCTAGAGGACAGAGTTGGCAGGCTGGTGAGGAATGTGGAACCCCTCCTGTAATGGGGACAGGATGATTTTACTTCCTCTCTAGGTTGCCCTGAAATATAGAGAGCATCAGAGTTCATGAAGGTGTATTTTGTAACATCTCAATATCTATGTGTTCTTCCCAAGTCACCTCTTGGATTACTTGTAAGAATTTTGGTGAATGTTCTTGACAAAGAATGAAGGGCATATAGGCAAAGTGTGTGATAGGATAAACATGGGTGTCAGAATCAACATTATCCAGAATGAACAAATCAACCCTCCATAAAACCACCTGTATTTTCTCTGGAATTCCTCCTTCCTCTTCCCTTCTATACCCTGTTGACACATAACTATGGACTTTTCTCATGTTATTTAGACTAGTTTTAATTTGAAGAATTTATATTGTATGCAATTTTATTTGTAGGACTTTTTTTTTTTCCTTTTTGCTCTGTATAAATCCTTGAAAATTCAACCATGCTGCTGTCTGTAGCAAGAATCGTTTATTTTATCGTTTATTTGACACATGGAAAAGTGGAAGAGAGTAGAGACCCAGATAAGGACTCTCAACTTTATGGTAAGCTAATCTTCAACAAAGCAAGAAAAAATAGACAGTGTAAATAAGAGAGTCTCTTCAATAAATGGTGCTGGGGAAATTGGACAGCTATATGTAGAAGAATGAAACTCGACCATTCTCTTACACCATACACAAAGATGAACTCAAGATCTATGAAAGACCTCCATGTGAGAAAGGAATCCATCAAAGTCCTAGAGGAGAACATAGGCAGCAACCTCTCTGACATCGGCCACAGAAACTTCTTTCAAGACACATCTCCAAAGGCAAAGGAAACAAAAGAGAAAGTGAATTTTGGGACTTCATCAGTATCAAAAGCTTCTGCACAGCAAAGGAAACAGTCAACAAATCAAAGAAGGCAACCCACAGAATAGGAGAAGATATATTCAAATAGCACTATAGATAAAGGGCTGATATCCAGGATCTATAAAGAACTCCTCAAACTCAACACACACAAAAGAGATAATCATTTCAAAAAATGGGCAGAAGATATGAACAGACACTTCTCCAATGAAGACATACAAATGGCTATCAGACACATGAAAAAATGTTCATCATCACTAGTCATCAGGGAGATTCAAATTAAAACCACATTGAGAGGCTGCACCAACTTGCATTCCCACCAACAGTGTAAGAGAGTTCCCCTTTCTCCACATCCCCTCTCCCTGATGGCTAGTGATTATGCCTCCATCAGAAAGGATGAATACCCAACTTTTGTAGCAACATGGGCGGGACTGGAAGACATTATGCTGAGTGAAATAAGTCAAGAAGAGAGAGTCAATTATCATATGTTTTCACATATTTGTGGAGCATAACAAATAACACAGAAGACATGGGGCGATGGAGAGGAGAAGGGTGTTGAGGGAAATTGGAAGGGGAGGTGAACCATGAGAGACTATGGACTCTGAAAAACAATCTGAGGGTTTTGAAGGGGCAAGAGGTGTGAGTTTGGGTGATCCTGGTTGTGCATATAATGGAGGGCACATATTGCATGGAACACTGGGTGTGGTACATAAACAATGAATTCTGATAAACTGAAAAGAAATTTAAAAATTTAAAAAAATAAAAAAAATATTTAAAATCACTTGACAAGTCCTAGAATAAGAATGCAATAAAGTTTGGAATGTTGTGATTAAAAAACACAATGATATATTACCTTATATGAGTTAGAAAGACTAAAATTAACAAGACAGGGAACAACAAATGTTGGAGAGGATGTGGAGAAAAGTGAACCTTCTTATGCTCTTGGTGGGAATGCAGGTTGATACAGCCACTTTGGAAAACAGTGTATAGGTTCTTCAAAAAGTTAAAAATAGAACTACCCTATGATTCAGCAATTGCACTACTGGATATTTACCCCAAAGATACAGATGTAATGAAAAAAGGGGCACATGCATCCCAATTTTCATAGGATTAATGTTCACTGTAGTGAAACTGTGGGAGGAGCTGAGATGTTCTTCCACGTATGAATGGATAAAGAAGATGTGGTCCATATATACAATGGGATATTACTCAGTCATCAGAAAGGATGAATACCTTTATGGATGAATATTGTTATGTCAAGTAGAATAAGTGAAACAGAGAAAGATAATTATCCTGGTTTCACTTCTATGTGGAACGTAAGAAATAGTGAGGAGGACCACAGAGAAAGTCAATTATTATACGGTTTCACTTACTTGTGGAGTATAAGGAATAACATGAAGGACATTAGAAGAGGGAAAGGAAAAGTGAGTTGGGGGAATTTCGAGGGGGATATGAAGCATGAGAGACTGTGGACTCTGAGAAACAAAATGAGGGTTTTGGAGTGGAGGGGGTGGAGGGATGGGTGAGCCTGGTGGTGGGTATTAAGGAGGACATGTATTGCACGAAGCAGTGGGTGTTGTGCATAAACAATGAATCTTGGAACACTGAAAAATAAAATAAAATTTAAAAAATCAGGGAGGGAGACAAACCATGAGAGACTCTGGATTCTGGGAAACAAAGAAGGGTTACAGAAGTGAGGGTGGTGGGGGATGGGGTGGCCAGGTGATGGAGATTAAGGAGGGCAGGTGATGTGATGAGCACTGGGTGTTATACACAACTAATGAATCTTTGAACACTACATCAAAAACTAATTATGTACTCTATGTTGGCTAAGTGAACATTGAAAGAGAATATAGACTTTTTTTTCACGTTTTAAAAATTTTTTTTCAGTGTTCCACAATTCGTTGTTTATGCACCAAGGAAATAAGGGCTTTGACACACTGGACCAAACAGACTTCTTAGTTATTTATTTGGGCCCTTTCTCTTTCATTTTGAGAAGCTGAGGTAGAGGATTCTCAGGTGTATTGCGTTTTTTCCCCAAAAGTATCACGTGACATGATGAGCACAGGGTTTTATACTGAACAGATGGAGCGTTGAGTATTATATCAAAAGTCAATGATGTACTATAACTTGGCTAATTGAATTAGAAAAAACATATGCAGCTCCTGGTTTCTTTGATCTGTTCTGTGTTTCTTAGTTTCTATATAATCTCTTTGTGCTCTAATCTTGCTATTTCCTTCCTTCTGTTATATTTAGGATTCAGCTGTTGCTCTTTCTCAATCATCTTTAGGTGTAGTGTTAGGTTGTTTATTTGAGATTCTTCTTTCTTCTTGAAGTGCTCCTGTATGCTGTGTACTTCTGTCCTAGGACCACCTTTGCTGCAGAGAAGGTACAGGATGGTGATAAGGGTTTTTTACTCTTTTCTTCAATTTAATTTTATTTTTTCAGTGGAAGTTTTGTACTCGTGTGTGTGTGTGTGTGTGTGTGCGCATGCACACGCGTGTGTGTGATCTTCTGGCTGTGCTTGAGGTTCATGTGATCCACAGTGAGTGCCCCTGAGATTCTTATAAAGGTTTTGTTGATCTGCATCAGGATATTTGTAATTTTTTAGTATTTAAGGACAAGAGGAAACTAATGTAACTGATTTTTTTTTTTTTTTTGCATGTTAGTATATTTTTCTTCCTGTTACAACTAAGTTTCTAAGTCAAGGAGTGAATAGGTAAGAACAGAATAATGTCAAGGAGGCTCCCCTGGGAAAACTGCTCTATGGAGAGGAAACCCCACACCCTGACAGGAAATATGCCCTAGACTCAATCTGCACATGCTCCTGGGGCTTAAAGACAGAATTGGTGAGGAGTGTGCACCCTCTGGTTGTCCCTATCCTCTCCTACAGTGAGGTTTCTGTCTGGGCTCACACCGATGTCCCCTCACTGTGTTGTTCCACAGTAATACATGGCAGTGGCTTGGCTCTCAGGCTGTTCATCTACAGATACAGTGTATTATTGCCATTGTCTCTGGAGATGATGAATCAGCCTTTCACAGAGTCTGTGTAGCTTTTGCTACTTCCATCATTGCTAATGCATGTGACCCACTGCATCCTCTTCCCTGGAGCCTGGAGGACACAGCTCATGTGGGAACTTCTGAAGGTGAATCCAGAGCCTGAACAGGAGAGTCTCAAGATCGCCCAGGCTTCACCAGGTCTCCTCGAGACTCCACCAGCTGCACCTCACACTGGACATCTGCAGACACAAGACATTCTGGTCAGGAAATTGTCGCAGACCCACTGTTTCTCTCACTCGTATCCAGTCTCACACTCAAGGTCTCTTGTTCACCATGAATTACCTTTTTTTTTTTTTAAAGATTTTATTTATTTATTTGACAGACAGAGATCACAAGTAGGTAGAGAGGCTGGCAGAGAGAGGAAGAAGCAGGCTCCCCATGGAGCAGAGAGCCCAATGCGGGGCTCAATCCCAGAACCCCAGGACCATGACCTGGGCCGAAGGCAGAGGCTTTAAACCACTGAGCCACCCAGGCACCCCCATGAATTACCTTTTAAAGGAGCAACAAGGAAAACCCAGCCAAGCACAGACTCCATAGTGAGTTGTCTGTGTTCTGTCTTGATTACTGATTGGAACACCTGGAAATCCTGGTGCTGGGGTTGCCTCCCAGCTGCATGGTCAGGGCTGGGCTGTATTAATCAGCAGAGGGAAAGCCCTATTTGCATGTTCTCTGAGTATATAACAGATTTTCCAGGTAACATCCTCATGATGGCAGTGATCTAGAGCAGTTGTGAGGGTCCTAGAGGAGTTTGGTCACCATGATATCTTTGAGGAAACCACACCCTTTTATTTTGTGATTTTGCTAAAGAAACTGCTTAACACCTACTGTTTTACTTTTTTCACATATGCACCCAATCATCATGATGTAGGTACCAGTTTTACCACTACTTTACATGTGGGTATGTACACTCTGCAGCACAGAATGATTGTGTGAATTTCCAGGTGAGCACAGCAGGTGAAATTGAGCCCCAGTGTCTGAGTCTGTGCTCCTCACCATGAGAGTTGTTTGCTCCCTTGAACCTCCTGCAGGACAATGCTGGATATGAGATTTTCAGGCTTTCTGAATTTCCAAAAATTCCCAGTAGAATGATATGTGGAGACCAGGTCTTTCTGTCATAGATACTTGGAGACACTGAGAAACCTTGAGAGAAACTCATAGAGCTTCTGGAGATACTGTGGGTTATCAACAACCACAAGGGGCATTTATGCCTGTTCTCTCTGCACACATCAATGGGAAATTTTAAATAAAGGTAAAAGAATGGAATTATTAGTTAAACAATTAATGTCAGAACACCTGATATCAGAAAGCATGCTGTTAGTTAAAGACAATTCTTCATTTCTGAAATGGAGATCATTGTACGTCTACTTTCATATTTATTGCCATGATGATATAAATTATATTTATCCAATGCTTCACCCTTGGCAAGTTTGGTTTTTGTCATTTTGATGGTTTATTCCAAAAATGGAGGATTCTTCTCTATTTCCACAGATTTAGAAACTGTTTACTGTGTTTCTGTCGGGCAGAAGTAACAGAGCATTTAGCTGGAAACCCAAGAGAGGATACCAGCCATCAACCAATCTCTTGTCCTGGATCATGAGCTCTGAGGTTCTTGAGTCAAAGGAATTGTGAGTGCACCCTGATGGTCCCAGTGCACCAGCAGGTGTCACAGACCCTTGCAGAGATACAGGGACTCCTCTTTTCCCTTCCCCATTTACCCAACATGCGAGGAGTTACCCTCTCAGCGTCACCACTACAGATTGTCCTGTTGAAAGGATATGTCCTCATACTTGCCTCCTTTACTTGAGCTCCTCACTCTGCTCCTTAGGTTACAACATCCAGCTCTATTTATTGTATTCAGAGGTGAGCAGGAATATTGGATCAAGTCCTTAGGATCTATCAGGTGCCCTCAATCCACTGACATCTTTCCCTCCTGAGGGTATAAATTCATGGGTTCTATTTTATGGGAAATGTCTCCTGTCTCAGTAAGGTGAGGGTCAGCTGCTTGTCCTGGGAGGAGTAGTCCTAGAAACCATGTCTGTATATTTTCCCAATTATATTTGATGTGAATCACTAATGAAATTGCTATTGGTCTGAGAATCGTCTTCAGCAAGTATTGGATTTTAGTCATTCTGACAGGCATGAGGTGACATCTTTCCATGGTTTTGATTTGTGCTTCCCTGATGATGACTGACGTTGAGCATCTTTTCATGTATCTGATAGCCATCTGGATGTCTTCTTTCAATAAGTGTTTATTCCTTGTTTTCTTCTGACCATTTCTTAACTGCATTATTTCTGTGTTGAGTGTGGTAAAGTCTTTATAGGTTATGGATATTAAACTTTATCAGATATGTTTTTTTCCAAATATCTTCTCCCATTTATGACTCATATGTGGAATTTATGAAGGAAAACAGATGAACATAAGGGAAGTGGGAAAAGAAAAAAATGAGGGAGGGAAAAAACCATAGGTGACTCTTAATAATGGAGGACAAATCACAGGTTGATGGAGGGAGATGAGTGAGGATTAGGGAGTTGATGAGCATGAAAGAAGGCACCGGTTTTGATGAACACTAGGTGTTGTATGTAATTATACTCCAGAAACCAATATTACACTGTGTGGTAACTAATAAAATTTAACTTAAAAATAAAATAAATAAGAAAATAGCAGCAACTACTGGAATACATGGGTGGTGTCAGGCAGTGAGGACCAGGGAAACAACACATCGTAAACATGCATCCTCAAGCTTGGGCTTGTACCCTGCAGAGGAATGGGAGGTGCAAGGGAAGGCCAGCTGACACTTGTCCATGCTTCCTGAGTACTCAGATGCACCGTTATGAACCACCCTGGCCCAGGAGCTCAGGACTACCACACTTGGGCAGGATGTGGGATGCAAGGTGTTTGGACAGCTGCCAGTGAGGTGTGGGCACAGACGAGTTAGGAAATGCCAACCCAAATCACTCCACACAGAGAGTTATGACTGTTTTAGTTAATTAATGTCCACAACTAGTCAGGGAGAAAATTGATAAATGCAAGGTGTTGAGTTTCTTTACTCTAGATCTCAATGATTATGACCTTTGAGACATAATTTCTCTCTTTCAACCTAAATTAGAAAAACTATTCAAATTATTCTAAAACTTTAAAAACATTCACTAAATGTATGAGTGTAGATTTTCTGTGTTAGTTGTTTAAAATGCCTGCCTTTGTTTTATTTTAGAAAAAAAAATACCATATAATATGTAGAATCTTAAATTTTTGAAATGTAAAATGCAATGGTGACAAGCATATACACCACATGATTTCACACTGAAGCATCTCCAACAGAGTCTCATTTCTTCCACCACACCTGACATGTGGTCCAGCCCTTCCATGATCAGGGCCTCAGGACTGGACTTTAGTCTTGCCCCTCATAGGATGTCATCTGCACCTTTCCAAGAGCTTCCTGGTGTTACTGGTTTAACCGAGTAGAGTTGAGATACATAGAGTATGTTAATGTTTACCAGTTGTGTTGTTCCTTTCTTCTCTCACATACAAAGGACATAAACAGAAGGCAATTATGCAAAAGTTAAAATAAAGCAAACGAATAGTCAAGAAGCAAAATTTAAAAATAGGCAAGCGACTCCCTAACCCTACAAGGTATAAAACCTTAAAAATCTAAGGATTAGTTATGTTTCCCAGTAGGAGTCACTTTATAGTAATAGGAGTTTTTGTTAACCATTCAGTTTCACAGAAGTGGTAATTAGTAAATCCCTGAATAATATCATCTTTGTGTAATGGAAAAATCCTTCTGTGGTTTGTTTTGAAGTTCAGGAGAATGAACACAATCACTGTTTGCTGTTATTTTTTAAGTTTTTATTTCAATTACAATTATTTAACACAGGGCATATTTAACAAGACCAAAACCTACATAACCCATCTCCACCTGCCACCCCTCGATAACTGTCAGTCTGTTATCTGTAGTTAAGAGTGTGTTTCTTGTTTTCTCTCTTTCTTCCCACCTTCCTCATTTATTTTGTTTCTTAAATTCAACATATGAGTGAAATTATATGGTATTTGTCTTTCACTGACTTATACACTTACCATAAAACTCTCCAGCTCCATCCAAGTCATTGGAAATGGCAAGATTTCATTCTTTTGTATGAGTGAGTAACATTCCACTCTCTCTACATATACCACATCTTCTTTATCATTCATCAAAGAGTGGACACATGGGCTGTTTCCATAGTTTGGCTATTGTAAATAATGCTGCTGTTAATATAGGGGTGTGAGGTTCTCTGTGAACCTTTTTCTACTCTTTGGGTAGATATCCAGTCGTGTGATTGCTGGATCATAGTGTAGTTCTACTTGTTAAGTATTTGGGGGAATCTACATCCTTTTCTCCAGAGTGGCTGCACTCTGTGCACCCCACATCTCCTGACCAGGGAATTCTGCAGGGCCTCCGTTCTGAGGAAGTGGTATAGGTCTCATTTAACAAGTCCAGCAGAGCACACGTACATAAAACTCCAAACATTCTGGCCAAGGACCGAACACTGCCCACTGCAGGCAAGGAGGGGCTCTGTAGACAACTGGCCTGAAGGAAAGTCCAGCTAAAACAGAACAGCAGAGAATGAACAGCACACACCAGAGACCTCTCTGAAGCACCAAGCCCTCAACACTATATGACCTCTTCTACATAAAGCTGTTACTTTCAGGAGGAGGGAACATAACTGACTTTTGTAACACATAAGAGAGGATAGAATCTTAGAGAAAATGACAAGATGGAGGAATTCAGTTTCAGGTGCAGTTCTGATCAACTTCAATTTAGATCAGACCCTTTGACCACACAGGGTGAGCAGAGGACTTGTGTTCTGTCTCCAGATCCAGTACTTTCCATTCCTGAAAGGATCCTGTGCATCAAGAACACTGCCATCCAGCCAAACCATTCACAATGCAACAATATCTGCTGCACTGGGATACTGAGTGCTGCTGACAATATCCCTGCCATTCTCGTCCTTTTGGACACCTCTTACTTCCTGCTCAAAGTGACTGTCTCATTGCTAACAAATGCTTTCTTCTCTATGTGACTTGTTGGATGAGATTAGGTTCAGGGACCTCAGTGGCAACAGTCACTTACTGCAAAATGATATGCTAATTGGATAATATTCAATGGGTTTTCTACATTAAAACAGTAGTTGGTCTATTCAG